GAAATAATACTATAAAACAACAAATGAGATCACATCAAATTAAAGTTTCTTCACAGCAAAGGGAACAACCAATAGTGAACAGACAGTTTACACAATGTAAAAAAAATTTTGCTTCCTGTTGTAACTCAAGACTGTGTGCTTACCAGGCAGGCACTTGTGCTGCTAAATCCCTGGCTTTGCTACCTATTCTATAGACAAATTATTACTCAAAATATTTAGACCGCTCCCCCCGCTCCATCTTTGTCACGGTCTGGGAAATTTGTATTTGTAATCCCATGGAAAAGTTACTGGAATTCTAGCAAGTTAATTCCAGTCTACCACTTCCAGTACAACCCATAGTGAGAATAAAGACTCTAAGGCATAGTTATAATTATGAGGGGCATCCAGTGAAGGTGAAGATTGATCGAACAAAGAGCTCAACCCACAGCCCAACTTGAGTTTTATTAATTCTCAAAGAGGGGAGTGGTTTGAGGGTGAGTGACTGAGAATGGCAGGAGATAGTCCTGTGAGCTGGGCGCTGCAGGAGTCCTGAGAGCCCCTCTGCAGTATATAGAGAGAAGGGTATGCAGAAAGCCCAATCTGCATGGCACAGCTGAGATAGCAAACTTCTCTGCTCAGGGAGGTGATAGCATCTTTCCCAAGGCTCATCCCTGGAGAGGTAGCTCTGCGTCCTGCAGGCTCAACCTTGGTTTGATGGGAGTCACCAGGTGGGGAAACAGCCACTGTTAACTGTCATTGCCTAGCTTCAAAGATTACGCAGCAGCACCTCAGCTGGCCCTGTTTACATTGCTTAGAGACAATTGAAGGGAAAAAGGAAATGACTCAGCCTGATCCATATACCTAGTGCCGTCTCCATGTGCTGATATGTACAAGACCTGGCTAATGGCTATTTGTTCAAGGAGAGTCATCCAGGTGGTCCTCCACACCCCACAGAATGAGCAACTCAGTCTCAAAATGGACAACTGAATTGAATAGACACTTCGCAGAAGTACAGATGACCAATAATTTCATGGAAAAATCGCTGATCATCACTGGGCATCCAAGAAATACAAGTGAAGAGCACAGTGGGAAGCCGAGCCTGGGGACCATCTATAATCCCAGCACTCAGAAGGGTTGGAATGCTACGAGTTTGAGGCCAGCCGGGGCTGCGTAGTGCTTTCAGGGCAAGCCTGTACTACCTGATGAGACCCTGGCTCAAAACAACCAAACACACTGGCAGACAAACAAAGAAAAGAAACGTCAGACAATTGTCTTACCCAAGAAACCATGTGTGTCATCAAAAATGTCTAATAATGACAAACACTGGTGAGGTTTCCGGGTGGGGGTGGGATGGGAAGAACTCTACTAGGTGGCTGGTAGGATGTGAAACCATGCAGCCAGGATAAAAATCAGTGTGGAGCTTCCACAAAATACCAACACTAGAAATTCTGTTCACCATGCTATTCCTCTCCCAGGTATCTGTCCAAAACTGTTAAAACCGTATTATAGGGATATATACCCACCTGTGTTTATAATAGCTAGATCTTGGAAACAGTGTATATGTCCTCCAGCAGATAAATGGGTAAGGAATAGGTGCTATTCAGTGGAGGACTGGGCTACCATAAAGAAAAAAAGGCTTGAGGGATTTGGAGGGAAAAGAATACAACTTGAAAGCATTTTAAGTGAAAACTCAGACACACAAGCTTATATATACATGGTTTCCTCTTACATGAGAAACATACAGATGTACAAATAACAAAATAGAGATAAATAGGAAGTATGGAAAAGTTCAAATACTTCCCCAAATTACAAATTCCATTGTTTTAAAAGTATTCCAATATATATGTTAATTAGTTGCATTTATACTTCTAATTTATTTTAGTTCATTGAAAAGAAAGTTGTGTTGTCTATTTCTTCCTTGTGAGAATCTTTGTATTATCCCAGTACTCTGGAGGCTGAGGCAGGAGGATCACTGAGTTAGAGGCCAGCCTGCACTACATAGCGAGACTGTCTCAAAAAAAAAAAATCTTTTTACTCCAGCTAAGCATTTTGAGAACTATACACATTGTAATAACTATTGTCCTTTTAATTCATTACAAAATGTTTATTTTTTCATAGATAAAAAATGAAGAAAAAGACTGAGAAATTGTTTCACACTGTAGAAGGCTAAGGGGACATAGGTAAATGCCCTCCTTCCCATTATTGGGGATCCAATCTCAGTCCTTTGCACTGAATTTTATCTCCAGTCTTTTCCTAAACTTTTTTTATCCTGAGGCAGTCTTACTGCACTGCTTAGGGTAGACTTGACTTAGCATCCTCTTGTCTCAGTTTCTCAGAGTGCTGACCTTACAAGTGTGTGCCCCCACACCTGTCTGATTTGTTGTGGTTGTTGTTAGGGATATTAACTGGATCACTGATGAAATGAATGTAAAGTGTCTTACCAATGTTCATGCCTGATAATTTTAATTCTGTTGTGTCTCCTAAGAAATACACTGACGCGTTACGCAGTGAAGGTACACCACATCAGGAATAATGTGTTTGTTCCTTTATTTACGGTGCCAGAGATTGAACCCAGGTCCTCAGACGTGCTGATTTCTAACTCTGAGCTGCATCTTTAGCCTGGAAAGAAAATTTTTAAAGACATATCTTCTGGTTGCATGGTGTGTGTGTGTGCACTAGGAATTGAATCAAGGGCCTTTGCACAAACTACATCCCCAGGATTTTTTTTTTTTATTTGTGATTTTTGTACCTCATCCTCAAAGTACAAGGATTACAGGTAGGCACCACATGCCCAGCTACAAAATACATGTGTTGTTTTTAAATTGACGTGTAACAGTTACATATGTACAGTGTACACTGGTCTGATGCTTTTCTGTGGATAGAAGTCACATGGCAATGCACCACTGGTCTGGCAGAGTGCCAGCTATACTGGTTTTCTTGAAGCTCTTGGACCCACTGAATCAGTAGTTACCGTTGTATGCCAAGATGTCAGGTGCTGTGTATGTGTCAAATGAGGTCCCAACAATTGAAGCTCCAGTCCTTCGAGCATTCACCGGGGGAGGGGGTTGTTGAGATTGGTAAAGCAAACTAGTAATCATTAACATTTGAGGAATGTTGGTGAACAGCACATGAGACTTTTAAAAGTATTTTTGCAACTTCAAAATCTGTGAAAGCATTTCAAAATAAAATGTTCAAATGTGTAATGCAAAAACTGATAGGAAGAGCTGGGCATGATAGCATATTCCTGTAATCCCAGCACTCACTCCAGAGGCTGAGGCAGGAGGATCATTGCAAGTTTGAGACCAGCTTCAGCTACATAGTGAACTCAAGGCCAGCCTGAACTACATAGTGAGACCCTCTCTCAAAAAAACTAATAGGAAGAGAAAATAAGAGACAATATAAGAATATTTAATAAACTAAACATTTATAGGCAACTTACAAAACTTGTGCCTGTATTGGGCCTCCCAGGAAAAATGTAAAATGGATTCCCAATAGCACAAAAATTAGGCTGCACAAGCAAACATAGAAATTTTAAATTTAAAAGTTGAAACTATGAAGATACTTTTCATCAACTCTCTTGTTGCTTTGAGACAGGGTCTTACTTTGTAGTTCATGCTGACCTTGAACTCACTGTGTTGTCCAATCCAGCCTGGAACTCATGGCTGTTCTGCCTCAGCCTCCAAAGTGCTATAATTACAGGTGTGTGCCACCACACACAGCTCCCATCCACGATTTTTTTTTTTCTGGTACCGGGAATCAAACTCAGGGTCCAGGGCCACAAGCTTGCCAGGCTGGCACTGTGCTGCTGAGCTACACTCAGCCCCCATCAACTCTCTTTAAAGAGGAACTGGACCTAAGAAGTCTAAGCTGTATTTCTAATTTAGTTAGAAAATAATGAGTAAAACTATGGCATATTACCTAAACTGCTAACAGTAGGAAATCCACCAGTTAAAAAGTATTCAGAAAAATAACAGTAACAATAAACCATGCACTGTTCTAGGAGTTAGAGTGAAACAGAAAGGAGCAGGCCCCTGAGAAAGAGGCCTCTGCCTTTCAGCTCCCATAGTGGTCAGCCAACGGAGAGTTGCTGGTGGGCAGAACCTGCTGTGCATCTGAGCGGCTCTGTGTGTGTGTGTGTGTGTGTGTGTGAGAGAGAGAGAGAGAGAGAGAGAGAGAGAGAGAGAGAGAGAGAGAGAGAGAGAAAGAGAGAGAAAGAGAGAGAGAGAGAGAGAGAGAGGAGAAAGGTACCAGGTTAAATTCACCTTTAGTTGGGAGGCTGAAGCAGGATTGCTGCCAGTTTTGAAGCCAGTCTGGGCTACCAGCCTACACTACAGGGTGAGACCTCTTCTCAGTAAATAAACGAATAAACTCAACTATGTGAGGCACACTGCAGTGTTTCTAGTAGCATTGAAAGTGTATTGTAATCGTTTCCTTTCCTCTTTCCCTCATGTCCTTTACTCCTCCCAAACTCCTTCTCTGTCTCTTCCCATGCTCTGAAAACTCTGCATTTCAGGTTTTCATTGGTGCACACTTATGATATGTAGTGAATGCGTACATTCACTGTGGGGAGTTGGTACAAGAGTTGAAGTTGCAACATCTTACTCTTTTTATGTTCCCCTTCTCCTTCCCTTCATCTCTTGGTCCCCTTTCCATTTACAAAAGATCTCCCTATTGCCTAGCTTCCATCCTCTACTTCGCTAATTTATTTATGCATTGGGTTTATGTGAGAAATCATACAGTACATAAGCTTGTATGTCTGATTTATTTCACTTAATGTTGTGGATTGAGGTTTATTCATTTTCCTACAAATGACTTATTCATCTTTATGTCACAGTAGTACTCCGTTGAATGGAAATACATTTTTAAAATCTCTCTGTTGATGGACATTTGGGCTACTTTCAAGATTTAACTATTAGGGCCAGGGATTTAGCTCAGTGGCATAAGTGCCTGCCTGGCAAGTGTGAGGCCTTGAGTTTGATCCCTGGTACCACAAAAAAAAGCAAGCAAGTAAGCAGTATATTAGCTTTGCACAGTGGCAGTATCGTAGCCAATGAGGTTTATCCAAGGTGCAATTATTGCTAATTGAAGATTTAACTATTAGGAGTGTGCTGCTACAAATATGGATATGCATGTATCACTGTAATATGATGTCTTTACCTCTTTGAAGAAGATACCTAGAAGGGGAATAACTGGGTCCAATGGAATTTGTATGTTTTATTTTTTGATGATTTCCAAAGGGGTTGTACTAGTTCATATTCATACCAGTAATGAAGAAAGGCCCACATACACAGCTTCGCCAGCATGTGTTATTTAATATCTTGATGATAACCATTCTTTCTGGGGTAACATGGAATCTCTAGGTTGTTTTAAGTTGCATTTGTCTAATGGCTGATGTTGAAAGTTTTTTTCATACACTTATTGGCCATTTGTACTTCTGAGAAGTGTGTGTTCATCTCAGTTGACGGAGTCTTTCATTTTGGGAGGTCTAATTTTTTTTTGGTAACTTTTACTATATATTCTTGATAGTTCTCTGTCCGGGAATAGCTGTCAAACATTTTTCTCATACTGTGGGTTGATTCTTCAGTTGTTTTTTTCATTTGAGCCTTGCACTTTGCTTGATAAGCTATATTCAGTGGTGTCTACTGAATGAGTCAAAGAATTACAAAAACTCCTCTAAGGTGTCACTAAGATACTGACAGCAGAGACAGACAACCCATATGCTGTTTAACTTTGTATGTAGAAAAGGGAACCTAGAACTGTAAGATAGAGGGAGAATACAAAATAGCCACAAAATACAACTTAGACAAGTTTATAGGCCAGGTTAGTCGACAGGTTTAGGTTAAATGAAATTGTAAGAATAATAATTTGTATATTGGAAAATGACTCAGCTTTGGAAAGCTTTAATAGGGGTATTTAGGATATCAGTAGATGGAATTTACTTTTCTATTTGATTTTACAGATTTCTGGAAAAGGTTCACATCTAAAGCCTCAGATAGGAATGTATTCGAGGTGTCAGAGGAATGCTGGAATATGAGAGAAATAGGAAGAAGGTGGAAATAACAGGAAAGGGGTTGGTATGGTAGGCCTTGGGGGCCATGGTGAGACCTTGAGATTTGTATTGTTTCTCAAGGATTTTGTAAACACCATCTGATTTATTGCTGCAAAGGAGTTGGTTGTTGCGAGGATGGACTGTAATGGCCTAAGAGTGGCAGAATCAGGACCACATAGAAAACCAGGGTAACCAGGAGTATTGCAGCAGCAGCAGCCTCAAGTGTTTAATCCAGGATGAAAGAAAGCAGAGAGACTTGCACTTCATGGCATTGGCTGTGTGGCTGAGAAGGTATCAAGGGTGACGTGAAGGTGGTTTGTCCCCAGCCACTGAATGCATACCATGCCTGCTAGCCCTTATCCACGGAGGCAGGAGTTGCTTCCTGGAGGTTATTTTGAGGCAGGGAGATTACTTAGGTTCTGCAGTCATTGTGCAAAGATGAAAGGGACTTGAACCTGGGCAGAGGGTGTCTGCAGGGAGTGACATCCCAGGGCACAGAGGTAAGAGACATTCAGGAGATAGAAGTTGCCAGAGAACAAGTGAGTTATTTTTAAGATTGAAGACAGCTTGATCTTTCCCCCAGTAACTCCACTTGGTACACACCCTAGAACAGCAACTGCCTGCGCCATGTTTCAGTTTTGTTTTGATGTGATTTTTGAGGCAAACCCTTTTCTAGGCTGGCCTTGAACTCAGGGTTCTTCCACCTCTGTTCCAAGTAGCAGGGATTACAATTGTGTGCCACTGTGTTTGGCTTAAGGCCTGTTACTATTTTTCTCCTAGAGCTAAGAATGTTTCTTACATTTTTTAAAGGATTATAAAGACAGAGGCAGGAATACAAAATAGAAACCATACATGCCCCACAAAACCTAAAATATTTACTACTCAGTCCTTCACAATGAAGTTTACCAACTTTTAGAAAGCTGCAGTGGCAACAATGAGATGTGGTGCAGAATGTCAGTTCTCAGGCCCCAGTATAGAGCTGCTGAATCACTGGCCGTGGGATGCTCCGTTGAACACACTCTCTAGGGACCTGAAGCTTCTGAGTTGTGAGACCCACAAACTTTCCATCCCTGTGCACCAGAGTATGAAGTGACCAATGTTTACAACAGCATTGCACAACAGAGTCCCAACCCAGAAACAAAGGAAATTTTAGCAACAGAGATTATGTAAATTGTGACTAACACAGTGGGATATTCTAGATACTTTGAGGTAAGGGCATGTTTGAAAACCTCGTCCCAGTGTGTCCTTGAGTAAGCCTTGACCTAAGCTTATTTCCTCATGTGTAATGCAGGCATTTAAAAAAATGCAGTTTATCAGGTAATTGTGCGGTTTAAATGATTCCATAATGTTTAAGAATGCCTGGTACATAAGTGTCATATTTAAAAGGTACTCTACTGTGACAGAGCTTTTTAAGGAAAGCCATCTCTGGTTTATTTAAATAAAAGCAATAGTTTACAAAATTATTAAACAATCTAGTCTGTAGATTTTGGCAGCTCAAATGTTGGCCTTGTATTTGTAAACCTACTTTACATTTGTAGAACACAGTAAATTGCCCTTACAGGACTTTGAAGCAAGCTGCTGAAACGTGCCCACATCACATTGGTACATACAACTAATAAACCTCTAATTTTCTATGACCTTCCATTTATTTTACTATTTCTTAAACCTTTCATTCAAAAATTCTTCTGCTATTTTGATATTCTCCGAAAACATTTCTTGGCCTAAACCATTAAGTGACACCTTGCCAAGCTTTGGCTTTTCCCACAAATCAAGGTCAGCAGCCAGTGTTATCATAGTTGAGTTTTAGACCTAGGACAAGGCTGGAACCCTGGCGTGCAGACTGCTCTGTGTGCATCTGGCCATGTTGGCGAGGTACCTAGGGCCACAGGAAGCATCAGTAGTCCTCTATCGGTGAAGCCTTGTGGCTTTCTCGCAACCCGGGGCCTAACTACTGCAGGCCTGGGATGCAGTGCTGTGAACGACTTGGGTGACCTGATCCTCTGTGCCCAGAACAGATCACTAAAGCAGTGGAAGGCCCTCCTCCCGGAGCTGGGCAGGGCACCTGCGAACACCCCGCGCCGCGCCATCGGCGACCCCCCGCGCGCGCTCACGGAGGCTCCGGACACTCCACTGCGCAGAGGCGCGGCCCAGCGCGGGCGGGAGCGGCCGCCCCTGTGACGTCAGATCAGCGCACTCTCCGGCAGCAGCCCGGTTCTGCCGCCTGGCTTTGCGGCGCGAGCGCGGCGGCGCACTGCGCGTGCTCTGCGCAGGGACACGAGGATGATGGGGCCGAAGCTTAAAGGAGATGCGTGATTGGCTGGCGTTGTGCTGGGGGTTCCCTAGCCCTTTCGGCAGGGGTAAAACAATAAGGGGGCGGCGGCCAAGGGGGCGGGACGTCCGTGTTCCTGTTCGGTGGTCGCAGCTCCGGGCGCCTGCGGAGGGGTGGTTGTGCGTGAAAGGAGCTCACGGCTCTGAGTCTTTCGAGGCTTTAGGTTGGCTCTGAGGGCGAGGCGGCAAGCGAGGAGAATCCGCGGCGGCCGGTCCTCAGCGACTCTTTTCGCTGCGCCCCGCACGACGCACTCTCCGCGGTTGTTGGTTGGAGGTGTGTACAGGGGGAGGCCGGTGTGGTGGCCGGCAGGGGACATTCCGAGCGCGTCCGCGGCAACCGTCCGACGCGCGAGCGCGGAGACTGAAAGGCTGCGGCGGGAGACATTGTTCTCGCCGGCTGCGTACGCCCGAGTGCGTGGAGAAGCCGAGCTTGTCCTCCAAGGTGAGGGGCGGGCGGCGGCGGGTGCGCGCGGGCCGGCGGAGGGCTCAAGGCTCTGAAGGGCCCGGGCTAGAGAGGGCGGCTGGCTCGAGTAGCACGCTGAAGAGGCTCTGTGGGGGACAGGCTTTCCGGGTCCGGCGCGTTTGCGGCGCGGCTTCCACGGGGACGCGATCGCTGCCCCGCCCGTGGGGGAGGGGAACGCGGCAGGAGCGACGCAAATACGAAAGTCACGGCCTCCGGGCACCATTTCTGCACCGGAAACCGGATCGGCGCGGAGGCCGCGGCTAGCGCTCGGGTCCCGGTGCTTTTGCGTCCCTCTCCCCTACCCCCCGCTTAACCGGGGCGCGCTGCGGTTCCTGTTAAACCTCTGCTGCTTTAGCCGCTAAAGGTGGCAGGTCCCGCGTTGACCCAGGAACGAGGTTTAGGAGCTTTGAGGAGAACGTAGAAGAGCATAAGCTCTCCTGGATTGTGAGCAGTTGGATGGTCGGATCTGATCGGATTTTCCCTGAGTTTTTAAAAGCAGGTTTAAGGTGGCCCTGTGCTTCTGGGGGCAAATACAAATTACGCCTCTACTTCTCCCCATGAATCACCTCTGCACTCCGCTATAACCAGCATTTTAGTGAACTTTGCGGAGAGGTACCTTTGCCCTTTTAAGAAACGAAAACGAAACACAAGCTCCCAAACTGGAAAAGCAAAGTTGTCCCCTTCTTTTTCTCCTGTGGTATTGTGTTACTAATGGGTCAAGGTACTCAAGTGTCTTTAAGGCTAATGATCCAACTTTTAGCTTCCAAACGTTTGCATTGCAGTACCTGGATCTGGGAGCCATTAGCTGCAGCTGGAGTGGAAGATGATGATTCCTTATCCACTCCATATTTGGCAGTTAAGGCAGGCTTAGGCATGTGAACAGTTTAAACACTTGACCCCACAAATCCAGTAGTGTTTTTATTATTCAAGACTTCTGTTCTTTAAAACAAAAGTTTATTCTGTTTCAATCTTCGGGTTGAATTGGGTATGGTTTCTTTTCTTTCTTTTTTCCCATATTTTTAGTATCAGTCCTGTGTGTTTTTGCATTATGATTTAATATTTACAGGTGGTTTTGTTCTGAAAATGTATAAGCACTTCATAGGGATGCTTCTGTCTCAGAGCTGCTGAAGTTGAGGCTGTGGGATATTCAGGGGTCACAGAGTGAACGTGCATAAGACTTCCGCAGTGGGATCAGAAGTGGCGGTTGAAGAGGAAAGTCCTTAGTAACTCAGTGGACAGTTTGACTGAGTGATCAGAGTGTTCAGCAGTTAAATTGTCTGTAGGCACTTCCTGGTTTGAACAAAGTGTTGATGAAAGACAAAGTTTCA